AATGATTGAAATTTCTTTTTAGAGCCAATTTTTTTAAACTTAAACTATATAGGTAGGTACATTGTTATTAACTTAATTAGGGTACTCGTAAGGCTTAGGAGGAGCCACACTCAAGGGGCCAAAAAGCCACATGTGGCTCGAGAGCCGCAGTTTGCCGACCACGGCCTTAGGGGATTGCAGACACTGGTCCACTATGGAGGGACCCTCAGGAACTTCCTGTGGTTGATTAAATAGCCTTTCCTCTCACTCCAGTCAAACCTGAAGTCCAGCCAGGGATCCATCCTTCAGAAACCTGACATCGTGGGATATTAGGAAAAAGCTTAATCTTCATCCACAATGCTCTTCTAAAAGTTTAGGACAGGATGGGTCTCCAACACCTTACAAATATATTTTTAATGCTTTTAGCAGAAGACTCGCTGGTTCTTTGAATCAGTGTTGGCTTTATGTCCAGGTGTGATCGATTTTGAACAGTAACCCAGCAAATCAGACTCAAATCTTGCCCACAATGGACTTCACAGACTCATACAAAAAGGCAAAAGTTGGGTTAGAATTTTCTCAATGATTCTATATCCAGTTGGTGTGAGCAAAGACCCTCCAATGCTCTTAAACTGCTTAGTGATGTGAACCAGATGGAAAAGAAAACAAAAGAATTCACAACTCATGTTAGACTGAATTGAATGTCTTTAATTTCACACAATGAATAACATATGAATAGGATTAACTTTTTTTTTAATAGTTAAGTGCTCTATACTGTGCTAACCTGATCTGGTAGCGAAAAAGACTGAGCTTTCTTTTAGAAAAAATGTTTAAAACCCAACATCTAAGACCATGGAGGAGCATGACAGTAAAGCATGCCAGATGTATCTACGCCTCAAATAACAGCAAGTCCATGTTCATTTTAAATGTACAAAAATGCTTTATGAATAAAAACTGTTACAAAAAGAACATTTCAAACAATGTACAATTTTTCTTGCCTCTATATTCAATAAAATACAAATACATTTTTTTGTTCTAAAATATGTTTACATACAATCAAAGTAGAACATGCAAATTACACTTTAAAAAAGGCTTTTAAAAACCACTTATGAATACAAACTAAAAATTAGCCAGCACGACTTGTAAGACAATCTTGTGCCCCATTTTTTTCTTTTGAAATATATATATACATATTTAACACATCATGTGCATTTATTATTATTTAAGAAATAGATTTTTTTTAAAAAGGAAGAAAAAGAAAGATGCCAACCTAGGTTGGAACTGCCCTTTTGTGTTGACCAGTGGCAGCTTTTTTCAAGTCATCCCCCCCCCCCATTTAGTGTTTATTATACCTGGGCAAGTGGGCAATAGGTTTCCAGGAAGTTTCTTCCTTGGTTGATATGTGCTTCTAAGACTGTTCCCCAAATGACTGAGCCCAACAAGGAAGGCAGACTCATCTGTGGGGCAAACTCTCCAAGAAACAAGAAGCAGGGGGAGCCTTGCATTGTGGAAAGAAACTTTAAAAAACACCAAGAAAATGCTACGATATATTACAGTTCGAGTTTCTAGGCACTGTGATGACATTATCTGTAAGCTCTGGCATTTGGACCATTGTGATACTACGGGGTAGTGTTGAGAGTAATGTCTATATTTATCTACTTTTACATAACGAGGACTGAAAATCCTGCAATGTAACACTTAAATGGCTTTTGAGGCATTTCGGCTTCTGCCACCCCCTCTCTCTCCATGCTACAGTTGGCATTTAAAGGCTTTGGAAATATATGTAGACTTTACACAGTTCCCAGGTAAATCTTCCTAGTGGTAGGGAAAAATATTCTCCAAAAGCTCCTTATCTGAATATTGTAAGAGTGGGATTTTCTACTTAAGTCCTAAAACCAAATCCTTTATGATCTGCACGTACATCACCTTATACTATAATTGTCACCACTTGTTTATCATGTTTATAGACCCAGCAATGTGTAGAACACAAATCCTGATTGCCATCAAAGATGGCCCCCACTCCAGACAGCAGCCAAGTTAACATGGGAACCCTCTGTCAGCCTTTAGTCACCTACTCGGGCCTGTTAGTGGCTGTTGAGTTCAGGTCCTGCCAAGTCACAAACCAGCCCATGACATTATCTCCTTTCCTTAGATCTATCTTCCGTGGGTGGGTTTTAGCCAGAGCCACGCCTTAGAGGAAGTTAAACTTCTGTTCCTTTCATTTGAGATGAGGGGTTGAAAACCACACGGCTCCCAGTCACCCAGAAAGGTGGATCAGAGACCCATAATCACCTCCAGGGAGCTTTGCTCACCCCTAATTAGACTCCCTACATTGTAAGTAGGCTTACTCCTCCTGATTGCTGAAGGCAAGTTTTCCAGAAAAGAAAGAAAACTAAGTGATTTCTTTTATTATGAAATAGTTTTTGGAGCTGTTTAGGGAGTCTGGGGCATTCCAAATGACATCTTCCTGACATAAAAATGTGGCCACAGAAGGCAGTGTTGGCTGGCTAGACACAGGCTAGAACCAGGTCAGGAGATCTGGTTCTCCAACCAACCAACCAACCAACAAGAAAATGAATCCAGACTGGGCCAGTGGTGAGCCAGGACAGGAAAGGGAGGCAAATGGAAAGGAGGTGGTTAGAACATAAGGAAATGTTGGTACAGATGAGATATGTTAATGGAAAGCAAAGAAAAAAAAGTAATGTGTGACACTGAGGGAGAATCTGTGTGGTGAAGGGTCAGCTGTGCAGGTGACTGGACCTCAAGTAGGTCTTAGTTTGGGTCCTCTGCAGTTTCCTAGTCTATTCTTAGGGCTGTAGAAGAAGAGGATTTGCATTTAACTCACATGAAAACTGAGGAATTAAATTTATGTCTACATTGCAACTCTGTTGTATTTCTCCTGGAATACTTTTCATTGGCTTGAAAATTTCAAGCTTAAAATTTCTCACCTTTCTAGAGGTTAATGCCAATTAAGCTTTGGGTCTGTCAGCTCATTCTCTTCTGCAGGAAGGTTTAATCTGCTCCCAGACTTGGTTGGGGGGGGGAAACAGTACAAGACCCAAAGGAGAAGGGCAAAAGAAAGAATGAAGGGAATGATTTTCAAAATCCAACAGGAGAGAACCCTCTTCGTGGCTTAATTGGAATGAAAATGGTTGCTCTTTCCTAGCAATGGTGGGGTGAGTGGGGCTAATTTAAAACTTCCTCTCTGGTGACTTTGGAACCACTCAGACATGGCTTGGGAATGACAAATTGAAAGTGGCTGGTTGGATTTTGCTGTTCAACTTGTGTGAAATGCCAAAGGTCAAGCAGGGTCACAGACTGAGTCTCTATGATACAAGCTTTAAAGTCCGGGAGAATGCATTCCTTTAAACTTACATATTGCTGGGATTAAATGCGACTGACCTACTGGGCAGCAAATGATGGGAAGCCCATGGCAACAGTGCAGAACAGATGGCTCCCTGGGTAATTTCAACCAACTGTTGGTACCATGACAGAGCAGTGATGCTTGTCAGCATATTAACTTGGAATTTTAAAATTCACTCCCGTAGATATCCTCTCTCTTATTCTCTTATGTTTCCAACAAAAATCCATCTCTCTCTAAGGAAATAATGTTGTGTTCTGCAGTAATAATACAATTTCCATCCAGTTCTACTTCCTGTAAAGAAGCTGAACGTAGAGGCAAATGAGATATTCTAATTCCCATCAGAAAACTTAATTCTGTCTCTCTTTTTATACTCTACCATGCCAGGTGTTCAATGTCTTGGGGAAGGGAAGGGGAGGAGGGAAGAGGAAATTGAAAATACTCATTTGAAATTTCCACATCCGACTTTTAGAAAACATCTACTGCAATGGGATGACTTCATACTCATTCTGAGTCTTCTTAACATGTTTTACTTGGGCTGTGGAAATGGGTAATAAGAGATGGAATGTCTGTCCACGCTAAACCAATGACTAGAGTACAACTTGGATGAGAAATGTACAGTTGAAATTGACCATTTAAAAGACGATTTGTCACACACAGTTTGCATCCATGCAGACTGATAGATTTATAATTACATTATGTACAAAATGTTTTAGTTTATTAAGGCAACCACAATTTGGATATTTTGTCCAAGGTGGCTCAATACAATTGGAGTGGTGATACCCTTGGAGCTTTTCCTTTTTTTAGATAAGAACACTTACTCCCCTTTGCTTTTAAGAAATAATTATCAAGAGATAATGGACTTCTCCTATTGTCTTCTTGTTTCCTTTTTCCCATGACCTATGATAGTTATTCGTATGGAAAAAAAAAATCACATACCAAGGCTAAACACTTGTCTTTCTGGTGTCTGGGGTTTCAGTTTTTGATGATTTGTCAGTTATTCCATTTGCTGTGGGGTACTTAAAACCATCTTATTCTGCCTATTCTCTGATGATATGTTCTAAGTATAAAAATAACCTGGCGGACGCCTGGGTCAACAGATCCTCAGATGCTCTAAATCACTTATTTAAAAGGCTCTAACAATACTATCAGTTTCACAAGGATTGGGATTCAAAGCTGAGTTCCCTGGGACAGCATGCCAAGGTGAACAGTACAACACAGCTAAGGTTTACATTATTCAGGTGTGTACCAAAGAAAAGAAGGCAGCAGGTAAGTTAACGAAAAGGCATATGGAAGTACCTAATGGGCAAAGGGAAAGGAGGAACAGACGATGCTAAATATCAGCGTATGTGCGACAGAGAGACTCACAGAAGAATATGAATGCAAGTCTAAGGTTGCCTATCACTAGAATCCCACCTTCTGATGACATGAGTCCATCTGAGAAACTATCGTTAACGGAAAGATTCAGGTCACCTGAAGACCGTGTTGGTGCCCAAAGCCTAGCCCAGCTTGAAAAACCCAAAGAAATGAAAAAAACACACAATTAAATGGAAGTGGGTTACAACAAAGCCAGTTGAGACATCTGCAGCTTTTCTGCCCTTGGAATGTTCCCTAATCCAGGGTGTTTCCCTTTCCATTTTCCTGGTCAGCAAAGGCAGTGGCATCAAGGGCACATCTTGGACGTGGGAGGTCCGGTGGCCGTGGGCACCACCAGCTCTCTCCTCCTCCGTGGGTCTTCTGCTCGCTGGCCTGTCCAGGATCTAGCCATAGCCAAGTGCCGCTGGGGCGGGGACTGCTGTAAAGCACAGACAAGCTTCTTTTGAAGACGTCCCCCCTGCTTTGCTTTCCCAAGAGCTCCTGATGGCTCAACCCCGTCATCTGGCCCGATTCTGCCCGCCCCGCTTCTGAGGAGAAGAGCAAGGGTGTCCCTGCAGCGGGGGCCTTCCCAGGCGTCCTTTCCCCGAGCCCCAGGTTCAGATGCCCAGTCCCGCACTAGGGAAGGACATCACTCTCACTCCCTCGGGACTTCCTCTGCCTTTTGGCCTTGACCTCCTCTTCCTGGGGAAGGGGCTGCTGTGGGGGTGGCTGCGGGGGCTGAGCTGGAGGCTGCGGTTTGTGTTTCCTCTTCCCACCTCCTCTGGGGGTCTTGGGCAGAGGTGGGGGCGGCGGTGGGGGCGGGGGCGGGGGTGGGAGGGGAGGAGGCGGCGGTGGGGGCAGGGGTGGCGCCTCCCTGGCCATGTGGATGACCGCTTCGATGGTGGCCATGATGGTATCTTGGCTGGCGGCGGGCTCCAGCACCAGCGGGCTCAGGCTGGGCTTCTGACCCCTTTTGCTGGGCAGGTCGATGCATTTTTCCAGCACCGGCATTTGGTCTCTGGAGTCCTCATCGAATTGGGTGGGCTGCTTTCGGGGACGCCCCCTCCTCTTCTTGACGAAGTTGTTGCCTGTCTTTGATTGTCTCTGCAGCCGCTTGGCCTTCAGGATCTTGTTCACGTGGTCCAGGTTCTTCTTGGTGGACAGGATCTTGGTGTAGCTGCACATCTTCCGCACCTCGCACTGGATGGCCTCGATCTCCCGCCTCTTGAATCGTTTCTTCAGGGAGGAGCTGGCTGCAGGAGGGGAGAGAGAAGAAATTGAGCACAGGATGCCAGCTGTCCTAAGGCTCGCCTTTTCAGTGACACCTGGCATCATATTTGCCTGTGGAGATTGGGGGCCATTAATGCCATGGACATGACTTAGTACCCAATATTTATTCTCCCCTTTTCCTTATTAAAATTAAAGACAATAAAAATAAGCATTGATTAAATATCTTACATCTACAAAGCATTTCTGGTTCTATTATTTCAATCTTCACAACAATCCACGAAGTAGTCCTGTTCCCATTTTTAAGATTTGGAAACTGAGGCTCATGCCACTAGGGAGATCCACTCAGAAGTCTAAGGTCAGAGTCACAATATGAATTTTCCTAACACAGCTTTTATTATTTATGACCCTTTGACATTTGATCTGATTCAATTTAGCATTAGGTTATACTTTCTCTTTTTGTAGAAAATGTTGAATGAATAGAATGACAAGCTGCCTTCCCTATCAAGCCATCTTGATAGGTACTTGAATGTAGGGTTGATTCACATGTACTGTCAACCTCCAAAAAGAGATGTCTTGATCTAAACTGTAATATTTTACTCCTAACCTTCCTCCACTGTCCGAGGGAGGATTACTTTCTGAGACACTCTATTTAGGATACCACCATCTCTCTAATTCTCTTCCCCTAGCCCCCGCCCCAAATTTCTGGACTTGTTAAGTTGCCTGATGATGTCCACTTGACCAGTTCATCCTCTGGGAACCTGAAGGGAAACATCAGCCAGGTGTTTCTGAATCCTTTACACTCCCACTACTAGGCTATTGTCTGCAAAGAGCTATTTTCACGTCCTGTTGGCCAGATGCTCCTCTAGTTTATGAGCCAAACTTCTGGTCTCAGGAAGTCCTGTACTGCTGCCACTAAATAGCCTTCAGAACTGCTTCATTTTGAAGTTCAGGCACAATAAAGTGTGAATAGCTTCAAGACGTAGCAGATCTTTCCTCCTTTAGGTTGTTCTTTCTCTTGTGTTGTTCATGAGACACATGTGTACATTCATATGCACACACACATACACATACACACACAGGCACTCACACATACTCTGCTGTCCATCTCCACACCGGCCACTTATAAATTTAAGAAGTGTGTCTTCAATTAGTTCCTTACCTCTATAATTCACCCTACATGCTCAACCCCAAAGAAGCCCAGATATAGAGTGGAAGATGTTGACCCTACTAAACGTTGCAGGCCTAAAAGGAAATGTTTCATTTTAGCATCATGGTCTGTTGTGTTAGCCCCAATTTTTTCAACTACTTGTGGAGAAATAGGATAAATATCTTAAGGAAAATGAGGGAAAAAATATTAAAACATGGATACCACTCTCAGTTACTCCTGGGCGCTCCCACTTTATTCTTTCCCCTGCTTTACCCCATTCCTCTCTCATGCTGTGCCCAACACAGATTTCCCGGAGGGGTTTCATTTGAAGTTTTTACAACACTGGCTTTGTGGAGTGGGAAGCTCTGAGTTCCACAGGACAGGTCAAAATGGTACTGCTTTAGGCTAAAGGTCATTGCAAGACTTACTGAGCAATGAATAACGACTGAACAATCTTAAATAAAGTAAGTTATAAAGATCAAAATAGAAAAAGGCAGAGTGAGCGTCTGACTACAAAAATAGCATTTTTTGTAGTTAGTGTTGTAAAAGAAAAAGGAGACCAACTGTGGGCCAAACACTGGGTGGATGAGATTTCAGTGTCTCTTCCTTCCAAAGCTACCTCATGGGACTTTATTACGCCTCTAGAGTAGTGTCGTCCAATAGAATCTTCTACACTGGTGGAAATGTTCCATATCTGTGCTGTCCCATAGGGTAGCCACTAGTCACATGTGGCTACTAATCACCGGAAATGTGGTCAGTGTGCCTGAGAAACATAATTTTTCATTTAAGTTAAATAGCTACCTGTGGCCAGTAACAGCCATGTTGGGCAGCTCAGTTCTAGACCTAAGCACTGTGAATCTCAAAACACACATGGCATTCATTTAGTAAAACACAGATGGTGGGAATCTCCAGGCAAATAACTTGGTGCCTTCAATAAATAAGATGCAAGGAGAGACAGGTAGGGGAGAGGGTGGAGGTGTAAATTAACAGAGACTTAAGAGGTAAAATGATCATATTTGGATGCCAATTTAAACAAACTGTCAAAAGAGATCTTATTTCATGCATTTGTGGATATTTGAATACTATGTGGACATTGCATGGTATTATAGACTTACTAGAGGCCCGATGCATGAAATTTGTGCAAGAGTAGGCCTTCCTTCTCCTGCCTGCCAGACTGGTTTCCCTCCAGCACCTGGGACCCAGGCTTCCCTCGAAGCCCCGGCTTCGTCTGTAAGGACATCCTGTCTTATTAGCATATTACCCTTTTATTATTATAGATTGTTAATTTTCTTAGGTGTCATAATTGCATTGGGATCATGCTCTTTTAAAGTGCATATCTTTAAGAAATACATGCTAAAATATTTATAGATGAAATCATATGATACAATTTGTATTGCCTTCAAAAAAATGGGGAAGGGAGGAGGTAAGTAGAAGTATGGATGAAACAAGATTAACCACTGTCCCTGTGTGTGACCAGAAGCAGAGTGCAGTGTAGCAAGAAGGACTTCATGCAGGTGCGGCTGGAAAACAGGCTGGACTAGGACGGGCCTCTTAGCCTCTCTGAATCTCTTTTTCTTTATCGACTATATTGGATGGTTAGATTACATACTCTCAAAATTCTCTTCTAGATTTAAAGATTGCTATAATTCTTTCCTATACTCATTATCAATTGCCTTGAGAAATGTGAGGGGGCTTTCTATAACATTTATTTCACCTAATAACTTTGAAATCCTAGTTGGGGGAAGGACTTGGGACTTGGCATGGTTTGATATTAACAAATCTTTCTCCTTATTGCTTATGATTGCACTGTCCCTCTAAATGTTTTCAGATTTTTCTCTCTTCAAATTGTTTCATTGTTAGACAGTAATTTCTGGGCTTTTGCAGCAAGATTGATTCCATATTTGCCCTCCATCTTCTAATTGCCCTATATCTTGCCTGTTCTTTGTCAGTTCTAAAAAATAATTATGAGTGGTCAAGGCAAGATGCAAATTCATTTCTTAGCTCTGCAATTCAAATCATTCTGGACCTTTCTCTGTATTTAAAATTGCCATGCAAATAAGAGGTTGAGGTGGTTTGGGTCTAGACCTAGGTTTTCCTTCTCTTTGCTCCCATTATCAGAGGATCGGCTTATCAGCCTTCATTTATTTTGCCATGTCCTTTATGATAATCAAAGACAACTGAGCACTGTTTGTTGTGCACTGACTACAGATGTAGCACAGGCACTGTGAACAAGATAAGGGCTCACAAGTCTTAGTTTTATAGAAGGTTTTAAGAAATAGGGGCTAATAGTTTGAAGACTGTACCTTTCCCATGTGGAACTTACATCCTAGTTTTACAAGAACTTTATGGGTGGGTGAGAGAGGGAGGCAAATTTATCTCTAGACTCATTAGAATTTTTCTTACTGCTTGAATATCCCTAAGGGCAGGTGGGGTCTTACTGGGGATTGTTGAACTGTCTTTTTTGTTGTTGTTGTTGAACTGTCTTGAGTTGAACTGCCTTCCAGGTTGACCAGGGCTGGAACACCATCTGCCTCAATCAAGGGCGAGAGGTGCAGTATGAATTGCATTGTATGCTGATCCAGGTTAGAAGGTTCTTAGATAGCAAAGGCCCATCTTTTCTCCCTGGCAAAGGTCATTCACGAAGCCATACATGACCTGGTAAGTAGAACATAGTCAGCAAACACAAGCTCGAGGGGATTTAATTGTTTAATGTTCTCCCATGCACGTTGTGCATTTTTTTGTACTTTGTAATTATATTTAAATCAGTAGTGGTCCCGTGTTTTCCTTGCTGCTTTTAATTTTTTAATAGGCTCTATGAAGCAACTTGCCTTGGCATGCAAACATTCTCCCTTCTTCCTTAGAATTTAAATTAACCTTCTAACATTCTTGGCCTTAAAAGCGCTTCTGAAAGAGATGGCAAGTTGCCTCTGCTGGTGAGGTCTCTGCAAGGCAGGGCTGGTCGTCAGCCGAGTACTACAGATCTGCTTTCCAGTTCGGAAGCCATCGTTTAGAATTAGGGTTTGCAGGTGCGGGGGATTTGTCACAATATAAAGGTGCTTCCATTCTGTTCTTAAAGTCATCTTACTACAGGTTGGGGTTTCTCTGAAAATGTGACTAGCTCAGCGGTTCTCAACCTGTGGGTCATGACCCCATTGGTGGTCGAATGACCCTTTCACAGGGGTCGCCTAAGACCATCCTGCATATCAGATATTTACATTACGATTCATAACAGTAGCAACATTACAGTTATGAAGTAGCAACAAAAATAATTTGATGGTTGGGTCACAACATGAGGAACTGTATTTAAAGGGCCAGAAGGTTGAGAACCACTGGACTAGCTTGTTTAAAGCACAGTAACTACTGGACTGAAGTGACAGATTCCTCTTAGGTTTATTGATGAAGAGCATCTTCTCTCTGATGCAATGGCTTGTAGGACCCTGGTCTTTGTTTTGCTCCCATCTCCCATTTCTTCCTGGGACAAGTGAAGCTAGGAAGTGAGGTGGGCAGCCTGGCTGATGGAGAGGTGAAGCAGTGAGGTGTGCCGGTGCACGTGTAGGTGTGCAAATGCTGACATGGTAAAGGCCACCAATAGTAAGCGCCCCAGAGTATCTGTCTCCCCCAGATCTTCTGGGATAGGGGTTCAGTAACTTGCCCTGCACTCTCCGGCCTCTGCAATCTTGTCCACACTGCTCACCTCTTCTCTGCCTCTCCAATCTGGTCCAGTTTTAAGTCAGTAGCCTCCCGTATGGGGTGCACATACCCCAAGACAAACATATTAAGGTTTTTTATTTTATTATTTGTATTTTATTTAAAGAATAAAAAGTAAGTTAAATATTCTAATGCTTAATATATAGAGCAGCCGTGAGGCCCTTATTT